GGGGAAGCATTGATTATAGGAGGCCAGGCATGGTAGCTCACGCTTGTAATCCCAGCATTTTGGGTGGCCTAGGCGGGCCAATCGCTTGAGCCCAGGAGTTGGAGAACAGCTTGGGCAACATTATAAAAACCGGCTTCTACCAAAAAAAAAAAAAAAACAAACAAAAAAAAAAAAAAACTGGGCCTAGTGCTGTGCACCTATAGTCCCAGCTACTTGGGAGGCTGAGGTGGGAGGATCACTTGAGCTGGGGAGGCAGAGGTTGCAGTAAGCAGAGATCATACCACTGCATTCCATACTGGGCAACAAAGACAGACCCTGTCTTTAAAGAAAAAAAAAAAAAAAAAGGAAAAAGGAAAATAATAATAAAGAAGCATTGATTATAGGATTCGGAAAGCAGTCTCCTTTGCAGTTCGTAGTAAAATTCTGTGGTTTTCTCTCCGTCTGGAGAGAATGATGGTTTCAGGATCTGAAATCTTTCCTTCCGCAGGAACTGGGCACAACAGTGAGGACCAGCTTATCCAAGAGGACGGACTTAGTGATGGGTAACACCCAGGGACATGCCTGAGAGCCTCAGGAAACACCTTCAGATGACATTGCCCAGAGTCTTACATTAGAGAACTCTCCAGACAGCCCTTGAGGCCTGGGGCTGGGTGCTGCTCCCAGACTGTGAGCTACTGGCCACCGGAAGCCTGAGTCCGGCAGAGGCCCCACAGCTGCGCCGAGTGCGGCAAGAGCCTCCCGCGCAGTTACTCCCTGAGCGGTCATCTCCGAAGCGGTGCTCGCGAGAAGCCTTCCTCCTGCCCTGACTGTGGAAAGCATCTCAGCCAGAGCTCCGACCTGCTGCAGCGCCGTCAGATTCACCTGGGCCGTCAGCCCTGCAAGTGCGGGGCCTGCGGGAGGGGTTTTACTCAGAGTGCATCCCTCCTCCAGCACCGGTGGGTCCACAGCGACTGGCGAGAGGCCTTGTCGCTGTCCCCAGTGCGGCAAGACCTGCTGTGTCCGCTCCAACTTCATCAAGCACCAGCGAGTCCACTCAGGAGAAGCCATTCGTCTGCGGGGAGTGCGGCAAGGGCTTAGCGGCCAGCTCTGCTGCTGGCTCGGCCAAAGCCCTGCGTCTGTCCCCAGGGCCAGCAAGTTTTTGGGGACCGGGGGAAGCTGATCCGCCACCAGTGAATTCACACAGGAGAGCGTCTCTTCTGCTGCTGCAGTTGCGGTGACAGCGTCAGTGAAAAGACCTCCCTCTCCCAGCGTGTCCTCCCGCACCCAGGGGAGAAGCCCTGCAGGCGCGGAATCGTGGAGAGCGTCAGCCTCGCACCCAGCTCAGTCGCCCCGGGCAGCACCTCCGGACTCCGGCCTTGTGGGAGCCCCGGGTCCTTCCTTCAACATCTGCCCCCATCCACACTCCTGCCTCGACTTCCCTTCCTTTATCCTGTCCCCCTACTCAGTCTCCAGCCTCTGGTTCCACCCAGCCTTCCCCAGATTCCTCCTCGCGCCCCATCTCGTCTCCTTCACTCATCGCCCGCGTTCCCCAGCATGGAGCAGCCCGCCCTCAGCCCTCCTCCACTCACCCCTTCCAGATCCACTGCTAAGCCCAGATGCGAATCCGCCCTCGGTGGGGAACTGGGGGCAGCCGTGTCCGCCAGTTTTTTCCTGCTCCGGGTGCGGGAAGCTTCTCCCGCACCCGCACACCCACGCCGGGGAGCAGCCTTGCCTCTGTTGCACTCAGAGTTCCTCCTCGGTCCAGCGCAGGGAGACCCACTCCGCCGAAAAGCCACACCTGTGTGCGGAGGGCGGCCGCGGCTGCCCAGCACGTGCACCTGGCCAACCCCCAGCGCGTGCACCCCGGTAGTGGCCGTTCCCTGCCCGCAGTGCCTGCAGTGCCTCCGGGAGGCCTGGAAGTTGCCCAGGTTCCGCCAACCACCCAGCTGGCAGCTCAGCAGGAGGGGGCGAAGGGGCCCAGAAGCTGTGCGAGTGCGGGACGGGACTCGCGGGAGGCGGTTCAGGCCCCAGGCTACCCTGAGCCAGCCCGGGAGGCCTCGCAGCACAGAGCAGCCTGACCGCTCTGCCAGGCCGGAGCCAGGCTTCGGCGACAGTGCCAAGCTCTTCCGCCGCCCTCAAACCCACACTGGAGAGGAGCCCTACCAGTGTTTCCGGTGTGGAAGGCCTCCAGCCAGAGGTCCAACCTGGCCCAACACTGTAGAACTAGCGTGCTGCAGCCCCGGGTGGACTGTGGATCTGAGATGCAGTCCCCTCCCTCCACACAGACCCGCTCAGGACGGCTCTTCTGTACTGCAGATCTTTCTCAGAAGTGCTGGGGGCTATTTTGTATGTTTGTTTTTTTGTATTCCCCTGAATTCTCGCTCCTTTCCCTTGTGCATTAAGAGATTTAGGCAGGTGAAGCTGCGGGCGGTGACTCACGCCTGTAATCCCAGCACTTTAGGAGACCGAGGTGGGAGGATCACGTGAGCCCAAAGAATTTGAGACCAACCTGGGCAGCATAGCGAGACCGTGTCTCTGTGAAATAAAAATAAAACGAGCTGGTGTGGTGGCACTGGCCTGTAGCCCCAGTTACTCAGGAGGGTGAGGCTGAAGGATCGCTTGAGTCAGAGAGTTCAAGGCTGCAGTGAGCTATGATCAGGCTACTGCATGGACGACAGAGTGAGACCCTGTCTCTCTAAAATAACTAAAATAACAAAAGGATTTAGGTAGGCAGTAGGCAAAGGTATACTAGCGAAGTAATAATAATATACAAGGTATATTCTTGGTGTGGACAAGAATAATATTGTGTTATCTTAGTGATTAATATTTATTTTTATTTTTTTAATTATACTTTTAAGTTCCAGGGTACATGTGCACAACGTGCAGGTTTGTTACATATGTATACATGTGCAATGTTGGTGTGCTGCACCCATTAACTTGTCATTTACATTAGGTATATCTCCTAATGCTATCCTTC